TTTAACATACATCTAAACAGAATCCCAGAAGGAGAGAATGGGGATGATACAGACAAGGCAGTATGTAAAAAGAGGACAGTTGAAACTCTTCCAGGGGTAAAATGAGTTTACTTTGAAGAAACTTGAAGACAAAGAGAGTCTATTAAAAAGCAGAGATTTATAAAATGGGCAGAAGACCTGAATGGGCATTTCTTTCCAAAGAAGATACACAGATGGCCAATAGACATGTGAAAAGATGCTCAACATCATTCATCATCAGAGATATGTAAATCAAAACCACAGTTAGATATCATCTCACACCTATCAGATTGGCTACAGTCAAAAACACAAGAAACAACAAGCACTGGCGAGGATCTAGAGAAAAAGGAAACCCCATGCACCATTGGTGGGAATGCAAACTGGTGCAGTCATTGTGGAAGACATGGAGGTTCCTCAAAAAATTAAAAGTAGACGACCCTATGATCCAGTAATTCCATGACTATTTACCCAAAGAATACAAAAAAAAAAAAAAAACTAGTTCAAAAACATATATGCACTACTATGTTTATGGCAGCATTATTTACAATAGCCAGTTTATGAAAGCAGCCCAAGTGTCCTCGATAGATGAATGGATAAAGATGATGTAGTATATATATACAGTGAAATAGTACTAAGCCATAAAAGAGAATAAAATCTTGCCATTTGAAACAACATGAATGGAGCTGGAGGGTATAATGCTAAGTGAATAACAAACAGACTCTTGAATACAGAGAACAAACTACTAGTTGCCATAGGCGGGGGGGGGGGGGCAGGTGTGTGGAATGGGTGAAATAGGTGAAGCAGATTAAGAGGTACAAATTTCGAGTTAAAAAATACATGTCATAGGGATGAAAAGTACAGCGCAGGAAACATAGTTGATAATATTGTAGTAACATTGTATAGTGACAGATGGTAACTACTCTTACCACATGAGCATTGAGTAATGTATAGAATTGACAAATCACCACATTGAACATCTGAAACTAATACAACATTGTTTGTTGACTCTACTTCCATAATAATTTTTTTTAAAAGCAGTCAGAAAAATCATCCAAAGTATAACTGCAAGGTCAACAGCAATCATGGAAGCCGAATGATAGTGGGGCAATATCTTTGAAGTGCTGAGAGAGGAATAACTATAAAGTTACAGTTGTGAACCTAGCAATATTATCTTTCAAGTACAAGAGAAAAAGAAATGATATTTTTGGGTAAATGAAAACTGAAACATTTTACCACCATTTCCAGCAGGAAAGGAGTTTTCTGAAGGATTACTTTAGAAGATAGAAAATGAATCTTAAAAAAAAAATCTGGAAGAAGAGTAAGCCAAGAAAATGGTAAACATTTAAGTAAATCTACTACAGATTTAATTAATGAAATGATGACAATGAAGATGTCTAATTTGGGAAGATGTAATGAAACGAGCTAAAATGAAAGAAGATAGCATACGCATGCAGAGTAGGAGAGGGGTAGTGAGAGTTCAAGTTCTAAAGATTTTGTCATGGGGAGTTTTCAGATATTGTTGTAGTTTTTGTTAAATATGCAAGGTAAAATGTTATGGGTAACCAAAAAAAAAAAATGAAAACAGAGTTGCAATGATGCAAATGGCTGTCCTGCAGTGATAAGGAAGCCTGGGCAGAAGAAGGAGGAGTGTAAGAAGATTCCAGGGACTGCTGGTGTAAGTAGAAGAGAACGAGAGGAAAGCCTTCACAGCAGAGAGGCTGGAAGCTGTAGAGACCATGTCAGTGTAGACTGGGTTTTATCCATGATTCAAAGAAGAGGCTGGAGACAGAACCATTCCAGCTGAGACAGGAGCGGCTGACAGATGCTGATGGAGGATAGGGTGCTGATGCTTCTGTCCAGCAGGTGGGACGTGGGCCAGCATCTCACAGAAGCCTTCCTCCTGGTCCAGCCTCGGCCAGAGCAGTTAAGGGGAGCAGGCAGGGAGAGCGAATGGGAGAAGAGAACAGGACAGCTCCCCTGGCAGCATTCAGGACACACCCTGTGTGCACAGAGGAGGCCCAAGCAGAAGCCAGAGCGTGGAGGCTTTGGTCCGGGCCTCCGGAGAGACACCCAGCCAGACACGGCTGGAACTTGGAGGGAAACTCTGAAGAGGATGAGCCCTGGCAATGTGGGGCAATGTGCTCAAACCCAAGTGCTTTATGTTTCATCACTGCCTCCTTTCCTTCGTATGGAAGATGTAGGGCACCCCAATCTGCACCCACCTCTGACCCTTCCTGCCCCAGGTTTCCTTCTGCCACTTAAAAGTGTTAACTTCTTATACAGCAAGACACAGAAATCAGAACAGGTTTGGAGGAACTTGCCATAGATTTGAAGGGGCATGAAGATGCATCTGAGTGGTAACAGCTAACACTTACTTCCTACTTGCTCTATGCCAGGAACTATCCTAAGCACTTGGCATATAGGATATCATTTAATCTCAGATGCCCAAGATCACACAGCTACTAAGAGGCAGAGCTGGGATTCAAACACATACACTCTGGTTCCAGAGTCTTCACTCAAAGAACCTGTGATCCTTCTGAGAGGCACGGAGCCCAAAGTGGGGCTTGAACTCACAGCTCTGAAATTAAAATCTGAGATCAGAAGTCAGACGCTTAACTGACTGAACCCCCCAGGTGTCCCATGGTTGGAGGATTAGTCTTCCTGGAAAGACTGAATGCCAGTTTGGTGCTATGAACTGGATACCTGTGACCCCTGAAAATTCATGTTAAAGCCTTAAGCCTCAACGTGATAGTATTTGGAAATGGGGCCTTTGGGAGGTAATTAGGTTGTGAGGGTGGAGCCCTTGTGAATGGGATGAGTGCCTTCATAGGAGAGACACATGAGAGAGATAAGCTCTCTTTCCACCTCAGGAAGACACAGTGAGAAGCCAGATGGGTGCAAACCAGAAGGAGGGCCCCCAACAAGAACCCAATCCCTTGGGCATCCTTTCAGCCTCCAGGCCTGGGAGACATGTTTCTTGCTCAAGCCACCCAATCTATGGCATCTGGTAGAGCAGCCCAAACTGATGAAGACGGTTGGGGAAATGATGGGTTCTCTTCTAATATGTGAAGGGCCATACATGGAAGAATGGTTAAACTTATTGTGTGTGGACCAAAAGATGAGAAAAAAGAAATTGATTCCTTTCTGCCTGCTTTGTGACAGTCAGTAGTGCCCAGAGAAGAAATGGACTTTCTGAGAGGGCGCTGGGTTCCGCAGCCCTAAAGGCTAACTGCACCCAGCGTTAATAATGTGGACAGGAATTTGGCATCAAGTGGATGGTTGCAAAAGGCTCTCTATAAAATCTCTTCCAATTTTTGAGTCTACAGTGCTGTGAGGGACAGGAGCTCAGATCCAAAGAATTAGATGTTGAGGACTCTTGACTCTTCCAACAGCTATTTTTTTCTTATATAACTTTGTTCCTGGGTATTGTGGAGCCAAAATTTGCAATTGTATATTTTAGGACTCTGCACACCAGGATACCCTTCCTTCAGAGGTCAGCTTTAGTGTCACCCTTCCCACCGCCCCCCCCCAATGTCCATCCCTAATACCAGCTTAGGTGGCCCCTCACTCCATCTCCCCACCACCACCGCCACTTCACTCCTCACACTACACAGCATTGTCTGTTTCATCATCAGTAACTATGTTTCCTAGGGCCACAATAGCAAAGCACCACAAATCTGGGGGAGAGGGGCAGGTGGAGGGAGGCTTAAAGTGACAAAAATGAATTGTCTCACAGTCTGGAGTCTAGAAGTCCAAAATCAAGGTGTCAGCTGGGCCAGCCTCCCTCTGAAGGCTCTAAGGGAGCATAATCTCCCTGCCTCTTCTAGCTGCTGGTGGTTGTGGATTCTTAGCCTGACATTGTATCATTCAAATTTCTGCCTCTATCTTTACATGGCTTCACCCCTCTGGGTCTGGGTCCCTGTGTGTCTTTCTCCTCTTAGAAGGAGAGGGCCCACCCCAAATTCACTATGACATCATCTTAATTTAACTGGTTATATCTTCAAAGATCCTATTTCCAAATAAGGTCATATTGACAGGTACTGGGGATTAGGACTTCCAGTTATCTTTTAAGGGAGCATAATTCAACAGACAACATGCCCCAACTTCCCATGATCACTGTGACTGTGGGTTCTTTGAGGACTGGGTCTTTATTCCACATATTTTTGTGTCTACCATGAACCACATTCCATTCTGGGCACTGAGCACAAGCCATGGTCGAAGGCCCCTACCCTTGGTGGAGCTTTGATTCTGCATGAAGGCAGACAGTGACCATTCAATGTTGAAGCCAAATGCCAAGCATAGGTATGTATGTCTGCATGTATATAAATCACTTGACCTATATTTCATATTAACAGAAACAGTACAAAACAAAAGACAAATTATTCCATTTCATCTAGCCTGTGCTTTTTGGCATGTTTACCAGAATCTAACTTTGGTTTCTCTCTGTCGCTTGTAAAACTTTGTTCTCTCATACTTGAATTTTTTTAAGATTCATTCATTAATTAAGTTTAATTCAATTTTAAAATATAGCTTATTAGTTTCAGAGGTAGAGTTCAGTGATTCATCAGTCTTCTATAACACCCAGTGCTCATCACATCATGTGCCCTCCTTAATGTCCATCACCCAGCTATCCCATCCCCCATCCCCTCTATTTATTAGAGAGGGAGGGAGAGACCGTGTGAGCAGAGGTGGGGGGCAGAGGGAGAGGGAAAGAGAGAATCTCAAGCAGACTCCCTGCTCTCCTCTGAGTGCCTGAGATCATGACCAAGTGGAAATCAAGAGCTGGATGCTCAACCAACTCAGCCACCCAGGTGCCCCCAATAATCGAATTCTTAATTGGGGTTGCTCTCCCAGTTTAACCCCCAAATAATGTTTCTTAGTATCAGAAAAAAAAAAGCTTGTAAAATGTATCCCTGATCTTTTTTTTTTTTAATTCAAACTTGCAACTAAAGAAAACACTTGTGCTCTCTTTTGCCTTCCAGAGCAGTGTCAGCAACTCCCAGTCTCCATTTGCTCAGATGCCAGGTGAGTACTTGAGCTCAATGAGCTGTTAATTAATTCCCTTTTGAGTTTCAGGGAGGCATCGGAGCTTCCATTCCTTTATGACAGCACTTCTGAAATTTTACTTTTTCAAACCAGTTATTTTTAAAATATAAAATCAGTGAAGACAGACCTAATTCAGTCATTCCTGAATCCAGAGCTCATTCTGTATTGAAGGCAGCCTTTCCATCTGTTGACCAGCAGAAGCTTACTGAGCAGAAGCAGTAGCAATTAGGCCCTTGATACAACTTTAAAATGTCTAAAATTCTGGCACCAGGATCTGATAGATTATGCACCTGCCTTAAAACAGGAGAGAGACCAGTGGGCAGATGGAGGAACTACTTTCAGGTGCTTGCTATCTGTCAGGCACTTAGATAAGCATCTGGCATTCATTTCAATACATATGTCTCATTAAATATTCCTGCAGGGATGGGATAGGGGCATTCTTATTTTTAGTACTACCGCTGGGACTCTCATACACGTGCATGCACATACACACACACATATACACACACACACACACTCCTTTCAGATCCCACACTCAGAAGCACCATAGACTTCTCAATAATGTTAGTATGCTTCAGAGCTGGATAGAAAAGTAATAAGAGCAATAGGAGATCTCACATGTCCAAATGTCTCCATGTTGTGTTTTCCAATCATGTTTACCATCCCTGGAATCTGGTTACATCTGCTCCCTTTTTAAAAAATATTTTATTTTCTTATCCATGAGGGACACAGAGAGAGGCAGAGACATAGGTAGAGGGAGAAGCAGGCTCCTTGTGGAGAGCCCGATACAGGACTCAATCCCAGCACCCCAGGATCATGACCTGAGCCAAAGGCAGATGCTCAACCACTTAGCCACCCAGGTCCCCCATCTGCTTCCTTCTATACAAAGACATTTTTGCAACTTCTTTTACGATCTCAAATTATTCCTCCCCTTTTTAAGGAGAAAAATATATGCTTACAAGAGCACAGGATTTTTTTTCTTGGTGGTTGTTTTTATTTGGAAATGGGAAGCAAAGACATGAGGTCCTGGAAGCCTTGTTTACATATTCTTCATTCTCTTCTTGGTCTTAATCACTCCCTTGGATATAAATTCACAGCATGAAACAGAATTTTATTTATTGATATTAATTTTCATTTGCATAGATTTTTTTCTTCTATGGAAGAATGCTTATAATGAAACCCCTATCCGCAGCTTTCAAATTCATGAGCAGATTAGAAGTTTGGGGCTATAGAATTTAAGATGAAAGTAGAGTGAATAGAATTTCCTGTAAGTTTCTACAGGGAATTTTGATTTCCTCTGAATGAATGAATAAATTTACATATAATTGTTGAACACGGTATTATACTACTGAATTCACAACAAATGTATAAGACATAAGCTCTGTCCCCATGGAGTTGGCAGGTGGATTGGAAAGAGGGTTGTAGCTCAGGTGAGGGAGTAGTGAACATAACAGAAAGTGCCACACCACGTGGCAAGGGCCAAAGTGCTAAGTAAGTGGAATATTGCAAGATGGTGTCATGATAACAAAGGAGAATGGTCTCCTCTCCCTGTGGATGAGTATGTGGAGTGGGTGGGGACAGAGTCCACAAGGGGACCACCCTGGCTGGGAGAAGGTAAGGACGACAAGCACCTGCATCCTCCTCTCCTCAGCCTTTTTGTGACTTCCGGGTGTAGATCTTAGCTGATTAGATCATCCACCAGCAGCTGGAATGATTAAACCAGTCATTTTACAGGGCTCGAGTCCATGTCCCCGGATATGTTCTAAATGATGAAGTGTTTCCCTCTGCAGCTGAGCTATAGAGTCTCAAAGTCTTTAGCAAACACCCCTCTTCCCTCATGGGACAATCTCCCTGGCGTTGCCATAATTGAGACTCTTCTTAGCTTCAGCTTCTTCCTCTGTGTTCACCAAGGGAAACTTTCTGTGCGAGGTATTCTGTTCCCACGCCCTCCGAGGGCCCAGGGGAGCCGAGTCAGGGACCCGGCCAGGACACAAGAGGGCAGCAAATAACACAAGACTCATCAAAGTCAGAACACACTTTTTTTTTTTTTCATAGTCCTCTGAGTTGATTGCCCAGAAACTGTCATCCCAAAAGCAATCGAGCCATGTTTTGATGCCTGCTAGGTACAAGACATCCTCTAAAATGTCAGTATACAAAGAAGTAGAAGCAGCATACAGCCTGCCTCTGATTTGGGGTGGGATTGTAGCATCAAGGTGTCTAGCGATACTGAATCTCAGATGATCCTCCTATTATTAACGGTCCTGTGTCAATGGGGACCGAGCTCAGAAGCTTGGGAAAAAGACACTTCATTCGATATAGTGTAAACAGCAAGGGATTTCTTTTCTCTTTTCACCCCAACTTGTCCTAGCGCAATAACTGGAACACAGAAAGTGCATCATGCATGCTGAGCAAGTGAATGAGTAGAGCATCTCAAATGAACTCCTCTCCAAGGGCAGAGTGAACTGGAAACGTATTAGCTCTTTGGGCTGGACCAGTTAAAAGAGGCAATGCAGCAATGTTTAATGCTTTTCGAGACCTCTCTGTATCTAAATGTTTGCCTCGGTGTCCGGCCTGCATTAGGACAGATTCCCGCGAGGAAAGCCCCAGCTGCAACAGGTACACCCGCACTTCCCACGGGGAAATTTCCGCACGTGTGTTTTTCCTTTGGCAACAGGCTCACCGGTGACGTCAGGTTACTACGGTGTCCGGAGATCTTTCCTCTCGGACTCGGACTTCCACAGCCCTAAACAGCTCGCAAACGACGTGTGCACCTCCAGCTCGGGGGCCAAGCCCTTCGCCTGCGAGTCCCCCGCGGCGCCCGGCCCCGCGGGGCTCCTGGACGCCTACTTCCCCGAGCCTTACGCGGACCCCCGGCCCCCAGGGCTGCCCCCCAGCGCCGGCTCTCTGCTCGGCGCCTCGGCCCTGCCACCGCTCCTGCCGCCGCCCTTCCCGGGGGACCCCTCGCACTTGGTGCTGGTGAGTATGCAGGCGCCCCACCGCCGGGAGGCAGGGGGGCTGGGCTCTCGCGCACCTGCGCACCTGCGCGGGGCAACCAGGTGGAAGCCGGAGCTGGCCCGCCCCGCACCCCACGCTCACCTGCCTGCGGCTGCTCCCCCAACAAGCGCTCCGAGGGGCCTCCCTGGAAGACCCACGGGCTTGGACGGGACCACCGTTTATACCCATTTTGTTAGTGCGCTGCTGATCTTGCCAGATGTTCCCCCATCGCTCCTTCCACACGCAAGGAAAGAGCCCCGAAGTTCATCTCCCACATGACTAGGCTGTAACATACCTGAACGGGGAAAATCAGGGGTCCTTCCCTCCGGGTCCCCAGGCCGCCCCTCCCCACTGTATTTCTACCCTATAGAATCTTGTTCCCCACCACCACCACCACCACCACCCCCCCCCCGCCAGTCCTAACAAAGAGGTGAGTTCAGAAAGATCTGAAGAACACTAAAACCCATGTTGCAGCAAACTGTAAAGCCTTCCACTACAAAGGAATGAATCTCTAAGGATGGGAATTTAGACCAAAGAGGGAATGGAGGGAGGTGGGAATTAACATTATTGAACACCTACTCCAGCCAGGAACTTCCTTTGTTCATTTAATACTTGCAACAACTTGGGATATACTTATTAAAGCCCCATTTTGCAGATGTGCAAAGTGAGGTACTCAGAGTCAGGAAGGTAATAACTGGCGCAGCCATGAAATGAACCCAGATCTTTCCCCCTCCAAGCCTAGGGAAGTTTCTACATCTTGACTCAGGGAGGGCAAAGGCCCATCAGGTAGTTTAGAGACCTACTCCTTTCAGGAGTAACTGGAGCAGATGTCCCCACTGCGGAAGGGGGATTCTGGGATCCCCTGTATTGTGCAACTCGAAAGGAATGCAAGACATAGTACATTGGAAATGGCAAAATGCTGTATAAATGTTCCTTCTATTGTTCTCTCATTTTACTCATTTAATGTTGTTTTCTGGGGAATAGAAGATTGATAGATGATAGATGATAGATAGATATATCTAATGCTAGAGTAAGAAAGGAACTAAAAACTCTCATGGCTGGTGTTCAGACATCAGAGGGAACGGCAGCCTGCTAAGGAGGCTGGAACGCAGACGGAGGATACCAAGTCCACCGTGGAAGCTGCCAGTGTTGGTGAGGAAATCTGTCCACATCAGAGTATCAACCCAACAACTAACCCCACTGACCTTTCCATTTTCTTCAGAGGGACTCATGGGAGCAAACAGTGCCTGATGGTCTCAGCCAGACAGACCTCGTGCCCACCGACACCCTGCAGACCCTGCCACCCAGCACAGGTTGCCTCTCCCAGATGGAGTCAGGGAGCACCACCCAGCACAGGAGCTCAAGCTGGGGGTGCCCCCTAGCTGGGGCTCAGTCCTACTCACTGCACATGCTGGAGGATCTGTACCATGTGCCAGGGTACCCGACACCACCCCCCTATCCCTTCACCCCTTTCATGGCGATGTCCAACGAGCTGCCACACAAGGCCGTGCCCCTGTCCCCAGAAGAGGGCACAGACACCTCCAGCCTTCAGGACCCTTCTTCATGGACCAAAGAAGATGGGAGCTTGGCGTGGGGGTCATACGAATGCCGCAGAGCTTACTGAGGGGTGCACCAAAGGACTTCTCCTGTGCTTTTCTTGGAGCTGAGTTTTGTATTTGACAGATTGTTTTCAGTGTGTTTCCAGCTCATTCAGAACTGGATTTTCAGAATAGGCCATCATGCCACCCTTTGTTAATGGACCATGGCATTTATTTGTAATCCTCCCTCCCATCGCTCCACTGAAATACAACATAATGTTAATTCAGGATATCAAGGACTATATTCTAGTGAGACATCTGATAGTCATGTGTTTTTGGAACTTTAGTAACCCATCACATTCTGAATTTCTGTTATCTTTGAAATGTCATTTTTAGCGCTCATATTTTTTCTTAAACTACATTAAAAAATTTGTGCAAATCATGAAATATACTGATTTTTCCATTCAGTTTTTCTTAGTTATGAACTGAGTGTGTTCTATAAGAGGGAACACAGAGAAGAATATAGTATAGGTTAGGGCTCATAAAATAAAACTCATTTTATACCACACGATTTTAAAGAAGAAAGTATTGGGGTGCCGGGGTGGCTCAGTCAGTTGAGCATCCAACTCTTGATTTTGGCTCAGGTCATGATCTTGGGGGTGTGGAATCAAGCCCCATATCACGCTCCACACTCAGCACAGAGTCTGCCTGGAATTCTCTCTCTCCTTCCTCTGCCCCTCCCCACCCTTCCTGAGACCTCTAGTCCCTCTTGACTCAATGCCTTTCCCTTACATCTCCTGGGGGCCCATTGCTCTCATTTTCCACCTGGTTGTCTAAAGCCACTCAATACTCTTTCCATCACATCATCTGTGCCCCATGCTCTACCTCAGCCATGTAGGAGTCTAGAAAAAACAAATAAAGACATTAATTCACACTTAGAAGTGACTAATGGATACTCCTCCTTCTCTGTGCCTTCATGGATATTTTCTGGTTAACCAAATACACTCCCAATTTATGGAGTGCCCACAGAAACGCTTGGATACAGACCCTCCTGGGAGCCCCGCAGGAGCAGATCAGGAAGGAACATTGTTGGTGCCCAGACGTTGGGCTGCCCTCTCCCAGGTCTCCTGCCTTACTTCCTCCCTCGCACTACACCCTGTCATGGCCTGATCTTTAGTTTGCTCAATATTAGCTCTTCGATGGAAGGGGGAAATCTCCACTGTGGGCAAGAAAGCTGCTCTTCCTTAAGTCCTGTGAGACTTGAAACCTCAGTCCTGGTCCCAGGATCTTTGGCAGAGCCATCTGTCATCTGGGCCCCTGCCTCAGAAAGAAGAGATCTGGCCTGTCTTTAGATTTAGGGGTCTTCACGAGGGTCTCAAAAGCCATTTTTCCAAATAGGTTGTATAAATTTCATGATAATCACAGTCATCTGCTGCTTACTAAGAAGGATACAACACAATACTGGTGTGTAAACCATAAATGTGTCCACATCACTTTAACTTCTGTTTGATTACAACACTAAATGAGAGACAAGCTCATTTCCCTTAGTTTGCTCTTCTCACTTACCATGTTCATCTTCTCACAACCTAAGGACGTGCTGGCTCTCAGGTAAGTAGAGCTCAGCAACCAGACCTCAAAATGGAGGTCAATGCAGTGATCGCAGTGCAATCTACATTCTTCTTAAAGCCCTTTCATGGTGCTTCACAAAACTAATTTACAAGAAAGGAGACATACACAGGCCTGTACTGCATCTAGTACCCATTTCAGTTACCCTATTTAAAGGGTATGGGTACGTGGGGAGTGGTATATGATTTTTAGGAATTCTAGTTAGCTTGACAATGTGTTTCTATATTTTTACACACATTTCAATTTGGTTCTGGTTTATCCTGGGAATTGACAATCCTTTGTCAAAAAAATGAAACCAAGTTACAAAATTATGACACAGAAATTAATCCTATTCTCTATCCCGTTTCCCACTCAAGTATTTCTATGTCCTACTGCACATGGGGGACTTATTGCACCTTGTTATAATAACACACATGCCAGCCAGCATCAGAAAAAAAAAATACACATCCTCCTCTCCCTTTTTTCTTAAACCTGCCACCCTCAGGCTCATAACTTTCCTGGGGAAAGCAGGGAAAATTAGAGTTCTCAGGTTCAAAACATGAGATTCTTTTGGGTCCTTTAAGGTTTAAGGTAAGCAGAGATTATGATAGCAAGTATAAGTTAGTTACCCAGGAAAGCTGACATAGATAACAATGTCAAGAAAAAACAGAAAGCAATTTTACCTGTGCAAAAACTGCAATATACACAATTCTCCCCCCAAATCACTGGAAACAGACACTATAGCATGTAGTTGAGAGTGTTTGTGTTCCTCTTATAATGTTATGCAAAGCCCAAAGAATGAAAGAAAACCACATCTTCACCTCGTTTGTTTTATAAATGCTCTTAAATAAGCATTATGACTTGCTACACCTCGGTTAATAATAGAAATATGAAGGTACTATTGTGGTAGGGGAGGAAATTCTCTAGTATCATGAAGTACAAGAGTTCTCTGCAAGAAATTCCACAAAGAGAAAAAAATTCCTCATCCCAATAGTAAAACATACATTTACATAGTACAGATAGATGTACCACACACACACACACACACACACACACACACAAACATTACTAGTATCATTGTGCTCCCTTTTTATTATGTAAACCTAAATAATATACTCACAAGAAATAAAACATCAGTAACACTTAAAAAACTGAAATAACTACTGATGGATTCAAATTTAAGTTCCCTTGCATTATGAGGAATCTACCAACCACACACCAAAATCATATTTCTTTAGGTTCTGTCTCAAGTATCCTTTCTATTTAAAACATTACACTGTTTCTTTACAGACCATATTCATTAACTACCAACTCTAGCAATCCTAAATGCAAATTCATCCATGCTGGCTAAAGGATAAGTCTCTGACCAGTCTCATCAAGCAGAGGACCCATGAATGGCTCAGTAATGTGTCTCTAGCATCCGGCTCAGTGTCCAGCATTTTCTAGATGCTCAGGAAAATCTTTGTTAAATTGAACTAAAATTATACCACAATAATGATTAACTCAGGGGATCCTTGGGAGGCTCAGCTGTTTGGCGCCTGCCAAAGGCCCTGTCTTTGGAGTCCCGCATCGAGCTCCCGGCATGGAGCTTGCTTCTCCGTCTGCCTGTGTCTCTGCCTCTCTTTCTCTCTCTCTGTGTCTATCATATATAAATAAATAAATAAATAAATAAATAAATAAATAAATAAATAAATAAATCTTTAAAAAATGATTAACTCTTTAGGCTCTAACACTATGGGTGACAACTCTCTGAGACTGATGTATAAGAAAATGTTATCATGTTTAAAATTTCACATTAGCCATATTCTCCACAAATGTTGGTAGTAGTAGTGGATACTGGACATTAGTGGTAATAATATATTTAAGATGATTGGCTCAGTATTTTTAAGTGTCCCTTAGAAGGACTACTACTGAAGTTTGATGGGGTACAGAAAAATGTTTATATATTCACTTAGTATCTACAGGTACTATAATATGTTGCTAAGAAATCTTATAAATAAAAGTTATTCAACATTGAGTGTTATCTCTGGTGTGATTAAAACAAATATGATTGGGGCACCTGGGTGGCTCAGTCTATTAAGTGTCTGCCTTCGGCTCAGGTCATGATCCCTGGGTCTTGGGATGGAGCCCCATGTTGGGCTTCTTGCTCAGCCAAGGGTCTGCTTCTCCTTCTCACCTTCTCTCCTTCTCACTCTCCCTCTGTTCTCTCTCTTTCTCTCAAATAAATAAATAGAATCTTTAAAAAATAAAACAATGATGATAAATGGATAAGGAGCTAAATCCCTAAAGATCAGTCTAAATAAATAAGAAGAAAATCTTCTAATATGATCTGTAAATGATGATGCCATGTTTTCTTTGATCTTTGATACAGAAGTGTCCTCTACTCTTAACCTCTGATAAATAAGATGCGTGGATTTGCAATATGCTACATCATTGCTAGTCTATTACAAGCCAAAAGAGAACAGTAAAAAACCTTCACAGTTCCAAAAGGAAGAAAATGTGGACAAAACAAAGAATATTCAAGAATTAGCTCTTTTGCATTAGAGAAACTGAAAAATATATCTACTGACCTTCTTCCTGATGAAACATCTCGAGTAGAATGATCCAAACGTTTAATGCTTGGTAAATTAATTTAGTCATAAATGAAAGATCACTCAATTGTTTTCTTTCTTAACCTTGGTAATATATTCATAGGTTTTTTATCACAGTCATCTTCATATGTTTTTGTATGTCTCAGATATTGCATAATAAAAATGTTTTAAGTAAAGGGTGAACATTTCAAGCAGTGACTGACAGTATTTTCCTTACTTAAATGACAAATTACCAAATACTTATTCGCTACAGAAGCCTCTTAAGGAAAAGTTAAAACTTTGGCTATGTTTTATGATTAAGAAACTGAGTTACCACAAATCATTAGACGACCTCCATCTGTAAGTCATTCCTGGTCATTGGACCCAACAGTCACTCTCGGACCAGGAAAGACTTGTTTCTACCATATTTTTGGAACCTGATATTCCCCACAAGGTTTGGTAACAGTGTCCCAAAGCCAAAATGACAAAGGAACTTTGCATTAATAAAGAGAATTTTAGAGCTGCAGTCAAATGTGGAGGGAATAAAACTCCCCCTTTTTCCTTATACCAAAAGTCTTTTCATATTCATGATATCTCCTACTTTGGGGGAAAAAATATAATACTCTGCAGTGTCATTTGCATATGAAAGCCTGCCAAAAAAATTTCAGCTAAATATTCCACTTAAAACTTTAAAAATAAATGCATTCTCTTCCCATTATTCTGGGTGCTCAGGGACTCTAAGAAGGTCAATGACAAACTAGAGGGTTTCTGAAGTCGGGGGCTCAGAGATCTGAAAAACTATAATATGTGAAAAATTAGAGAAACTACAGATAGTAAGCCTCAGAAAGAAATGGCTGGGGGCATGGGGCAGGGCTGGGCATGACTTCTTCAGGCTTAGCACTGGGCCTGGCCAGAGTATATGCCGTTAAGAGAATGAATCAGCGAATGAACCAGACAGACTGGTGATGTGGAGAAGCAGTGGTATGGAAGTGGGAGAACAGGTATCTCATGTTATTTACAGAGCAGTTGATGGAAGAAACCAGGACTTATTTTTCTTTGTGTTCTTGATATCATGGCTGGTACATAGTTGGTGCACAATTAATACCTTATTGGATTTTAGCTCAATCAATGATCATTCTACATAAATGGTGGAAAAGGCTCTCTTACAAAGACTGAGCCCCCACTTCCTCAACACAAGTCCACCATGGGCCAGGAGCTCATCCAAGCAGTGGAGGGAGCCAGAGGCGGAAGGACCACCAGCAGGGACACTGGAAAAAGACTCTAAGTCACTCTCAGCACCTCAGAGCTCCCTTTCAACATGCAAGCATCAGGACCCTGTGTTATGTTTTTAAGCAAGTGAGCTTGTTAAAGCCTGTTGAAAGCTTGCAACTTTTTTTTTTTCAGTCTTTTATTAAAAACCCCAGAATGATTATCAGGACTTCAGGGCAGACAACCGGAGGTGACAATGCCCCCCAGTCAGAGAAGTACAAACTGTTAATTAGCTTAATGCACAGCTCACCCTGTCTTCCAGCCAGTCTCCCCTTCAGGGATCTGGTGCCCCCAGTCTTTACAGAATACTTTGAAGACGTTATGCTGCCCTGCCTTAGTCTCCTCACACACCCTGACAGCAAAACAAACAGAACATCAAAATACTTTCACATGCACAACAATGACAAGTGTGTTTGCCTGTCTCACAGACAGCATTTTTCCAATGCTGGTCACAACTCATTAGTGCATCAACAAATTATCTTTGTGACTCCCAATTAACACACATTTTTCATAAATAGCACGAAATGGAAAAGATTGGAGAGGAAATGTCAGAATGCTTCATATACAGGGGTGTACACTGTTTCATGAGAAGTTTATTTTTTTAATATTTCTTATTTATTTATTCATGACAGACACACACAGAGAGAAAGAGAGAGAGAGAGAGAGAGATTGAGACAGGCAGAGGGAGAAGCAGGCTCCATGCAGGGAGCCTGACATGGGACTCCATCCCGGGTCTCCAGGATCACGCTCCTAGCTGAAGGCGTCACTAAACCACTGGGCCACTGGGGCTGCCCATGTTACATGAGAACTTTAATAAACATGTAAATATTACTGTATAGTATGTGAACATGTAAAATGAAATCATTGTGGATTGAAGTCAAGAAAGTTTGAAAGCCTCTGATGTAAAAGATCAAGAAGACAACAATGATAATGAAGAGAAAGAGGTTTAGCACCAGATTTACCAAAGCTTGAGACCCAATCCTGCCATTTATGTGCTTAATAACCTTGGGCATGTTGCTTACCCCTCTGAGCCTCAGCTGTGAAATGGGAGGCCATACAATACGGTGCCTGATATCCAATAAATACTCGATAAATGACAACTTTTAGAAAAAAGTCTCCTGTGAGGACCATCCAACTCCATGGGGTCTTTGGGGTAGATCTGGTTGCTTCAGGCCTCATGACACATGCAGATCTGTAGGAAAGATACACGGGACTCATTAGAAAGGACCCTCCTCTGCACTCACAAGCATGATGTCTGAATGTTAAATATCTGTGCTGGGGTTTTGCAATTACAGAAACAAATTATAGGAAACAAAGCTCCTTCATGTTGGGGTAAAAACTGGGAGACGTTATTTCTCAAAACAGGACTCAGGCATGAGGAAACTCAGTTTTCTGAAATTGCTTGCCAGCAACAGCAATGGAACATCCATCTCAAGAGCAGGGGCCAACACAGAAGCCCTCAGAACTGCGGCTATGTTTCAGGCAGAGGCTGCTCTAGAAAGGGACAGGGTTCTTCGCTGTCTGTACAGACCCTGTGATTTCCAAGGACCCCATCTCTCATGGGCCCCCAATCTCCAATCTCCGCCTGCTTTCAGCAAGTACCATGTAGCCAATCAGTGGCATGAGCTTCAGTGATGTTGTCAAGGGAACTCGGTGGCCTCCACAAACCACTGCCCATCTCCATGGAAGAGGAGAGGTTAGCAAGGAAAATAAGCCTGAAAAAATGAGAAAGTCCCCAGAACAGAGGGAAAGTGACACATTTAGAAAGAAGAAGAAGAAGAAGAAGAAGAAGAAGAAGAAGAAGAAGAAGAAGAAGAAGAAGAAGAAGAAGAAAGAAACTTGGGGAAAAAATAAATAGAAAGTCTAAAGACAAAGATTTTAAACAGCAAAAGAGAAGTGGAAAACAAAAAGGAGGAAGACAAAAGAGAAAAGAAGTCATGTCTCTCGAGGGCAAGAGAGCCTCCCTGAGCTGTTTTGTCCACTATCCCATCAGAAGCAGCGGTGTCCAGATGGGGCGGGGCAGGGCAGGGAGAGAGGAGACAGGGCCTCTGAACTCCCTGCATCCTCCTCTACTCACAAGTCTGGTCCTCAGGCCTGACGCCCACCGGGAAAACCCAGGACACAGGCTCAGAGGCCTCTGTGGGAAGACTCCAGGGGCTGACAGATTTAGTGGGGTAGAGGCAGACACAGCCCGTCCTGCCCTCCAGAGCCAGGTGCCATGTCAAGTGCTCCCAGCTCCTCCCCATCACAGATTCCAGAGCCTTGTTACCCCCAGGACCCCTGCTCCCCACCTGTGTATGTTCCACCCTGCACTGGACACATTCAAGGGAATTCAGATTATTTTTCTGGTGGCCTGTGGGGCTCAGCTCCATTCTTTGCATTTCAGAGAACTCAGGGAGCAGAGGCCTGTAACCATCGCCTGGCCTGGCATCATGGGAATGTCCTGGCTCATTTGCAAAGGGAACTCCATCCTGCTTCTCCATCTTCCGGTGCTGCCCTCTTCCCCCAGGGGCTAGATGAGCATCTGGCCTGGCACTCACTCCCTTTCGGGACCACTCCTGTTTTCTCAACCTTCCAAATCACATGGAAGAGGTACAGCGAGCGCTTGGAGAACATCACCCGGCACAGTTCCATCCCTGGGGAGGGGCTCATGCTTGCACCTGCCTGGCAGCCTGACTTCAAGAATCTCCCACCTCTCACCCACAGTGTGAAGGCCTGCACACAAATCCATGTCCTTTCAGCTAAAAGGAGCAGGATCCAAGCTTATCATTATTATTCAACACATACTCCTGCAGCAGAAAGGGCAGGGATGGCTCCAGCCAGACAAAGAGGGGAGGCAAGAGAACTTCACAGTGGAAGAAACACCTGCCTCAGAAAGTCTCCAGGGTGAGGTCCCACAGACCTCCCCAGCTCCTGGTGGGGGAGCAGAGGGTCATAATGCGCAGGCCTTCTGTCTTGAAACTGCGGTGTCTGGGGCCCAGACTGAGAGCGGGCCAAAGGCAAGGAAGCCGGCCTGTGGCCAAGTGGTGCCAGAAGGACATGTGGCACAGAGCGGAGGCCTTGGCCGGGCCTGCGGCCTGCAACCTGCAACCTGCAACCTGAAGCAGGAATGACTCCTTGCCTCGCCATACCTACTGGCTGCCATGTTCACTCCCCGAAACCTGAGATTTTCCCCTAAAATGGAGACTAGGGATATAGGACTGAGTCTGGTGGGCCAGTCTGGCTCAGGAGGTCAGGAAGGACAGCCTGAGTCACTCCAGGCTCCTGGGGCTGCCTTTGAGGCAGAAATACAGAGCATCTTTGAGGACTCCGGCTCTGTCTGTGGAAAGGTGGGCAAAATGTTTAAAATACAATAAAAGCAAGGCCCAGGGCCCAAAGGGGTCTGGCTCCCTGTTTCTTTGGACTGTCTGTGGGGTGCCTGTGTGCAGGATTTCTGCAGAAGATAGTCCATTTTGTTAAGCCTTTGAATATTCAAATTGAAAGTATCGCGCAATCATTGATTGTCAAATCATGGGTTTCTAGAGGTTTTAAATACTTGGCATGAGGGGGAAAAAACTCAAACCTATACCCGAAGGTATAAAACATTAATTCTGTTTGTCTCCTGCTCCAGGAACCTGGGTGCAGCTGGATGCTTTGTGAAACTTTAAAATGTTGCATCTCTGCTTCTCTGTCTGTACAGGAGCCCTGGGAGGCACCGAGTCCCTGCAGCTGCAGCATCCAGCCAGCGCCCCAGCTTCTGCTGACCACGATGTCGGGTAACTGGGCTGCTTCTCCCGGGGTAGGGTCGCGCGAGCCAGGGCCTTTGGGTCCGGGTGTATTTCCACAGCTTTGCCTGCATGGACAGAGAGGCACACAGTCAGGGCGTGCAAGGAGGCGCCGGCGATCCCGAGAGCGCGCGGGCCACGCCGTGGCCGCTGCCCCTCGGCGCCCGCTCCGCAGGGCAGAGGCCCAGAGGCCGGCCCGGCCGCCGTGGCCTTCGCGGGCCCTGATCCCGCAGCCGCGCTCCTGCTCCGCGGCGCCCGTGACCCCGGGGCTTCGCGGCGCGGGCTCTGCGTGCCCAGGAGCGGCGGCGGGGGGAGCTAGAGGCTCGCGGGGAGCCCGGGACGCCCGCGGGGTGCGCCGGCCGGCGGGGCTGGGGGTGGCGGCAGCGCCCCCGCGCCCCCCGGGCCGCACCCGCCGCCCACCGAGCCGCGAGCCGCCGGCGCGGGGCGCCCGGGAGCGGGGCCGCCGACAGGGCGCGCAGAGCCAGGCCTCGCGGGCCACGGCGCGGGGCTCCCCGGGTCTGGGCGGCGACCGGCGCAGCCTCCCCTCCCGCGGGGACCCGGCTCCGCGGCCCCGGCGCGGGTCTCCCTGCGGCCGGGCTGCGCTCTCGGCGGTGGCCAGGCGCGGCGCTGGCGGCCCTGCTCGAGGCCGGGGCGGGCTCCCCGCGCCGCCGCCCTGCGCCCTGGGACGCGGCCCCCTCCCCGCGCGGGGCGCAGGCCAGGGCGGGGGCGCCGGACACCCCGACGGCGGGAGCGCCCCGGCCCCGCGCGGCCGCACAGCCGAGTCTCACCTCCTCGCCGCGGCTCCGCGGGGCCGGCCCGGGCCGCCGCCGCCTCGCTCCCGCTCCCGGCGCGCCCGCACTCCCTCCCCGCCGGCCCCGGGAGCCCCGTTCGGCCTGGCGGGAGGCTCCGTGCGCCGCCCAGACGCCTGCACCCGACAGGGAGGGGGGAGCGCCGGGAAGAGGGGGAGCAGGAGCGGGCCCGAGGCGGGAGGAGGAAAAGACGTGAGGGGGCAGGCGAGGAAGGGGGCGAGGGAGACGCGGCGGACGGGAAAGGCCGGGCCTTGGCGGCGGCCGCTGCAGCGAGGCCCCAGCAGCCCGCGGACCCGGCTCTCAGGCCCCCCAGCCCCCCAGCCCCCCCCCCCCCCCCCCCCCGCCGCTCGTCCGGGGCTGGCTTCCAGACCAAGGGCATGCAGAGGTCAGGGCCTCCGCAGGAGCCACGCTTGGCCTGGTGGCGCAGGTCGGGACTCGGAGCTTCCACGCGCGTGGGAGCGTCACCGTCACGGCGCGGCGGGCCAAGTCACCTGCTACGGATCAGAGACGGCCCCGTGCGCCGGCCGCAGCCTCTCTCAGGCCCTCGCACCTCTCCCCCGCCAGCAGGCTGGGCCCAGGGCCGAGATTCCCCTAATTTAGCCAAGGTGGTGAGCTTCCCTAGGCTGTTCTCACATTCCTGAGCAGAAAACCCCGCGTGCTGTTGGTCTAGGGATAGGGCCCAGCCCCACAGATTTCCATAGGTTCTGTTCCCACTGGGGCCCTGAAGTCTGCCCAGCTTCTCCTCATTTCAAGTTTGAGAAATTTGGGGCTCCTTCCCACCTGTCTTTGAGCATTCTCTTTGCCTTCTTCAGACTTAGAAAACTGGCCTTCTGCATCCAAACCTCCCATTTGAACACTGACTCAGTTGCCTTTTCCCCCAGAAAAACCGAAGGTGTATCAAGGTGTCCGGGTGAAGATAACCGTGAAGGAGCTGCTGCAGCAGAGAAGGGCACACCAGGCAGCCTCAGGGGGAACCGTAAGCAGAAACCCTCTCTTCCTCCCGGTCTTGCCTTTGGCTTCGTTGATCCCTGTCTCTCTCTGGAAAGGTGTAGGTGGCCTGGCCGAGCTCCATCATATACTCAGGCATATACTCAGCAGTCCCCAGACCTGGCCTTCCTCAGCTGTCTTTGTAACTTCTGTGCTGCCAGGCTTCTTCCCCGTCTGCCACAGGAAGCCACAAAGAACAGCTGGAGCACGTTGTTGGGCTCAGGATTTGGGGGAGCTCATCCCTCACTGATCATGGTTCAATATAATGGGCTTGCAGGTCTGGTGCAGGGAGAGGAGCCAGCCAGCGGGTGAGTAGATTGTTCTGGTAGGAAAACACTGTGTGTGCCCAGACACGTGCCAGAAACTCATTTCATTTTAGTGAGCCCTTCAACGAGAGAATCTCCATAAAATGCACCCGCCCCCCGCTTCTCATTCTTATGAAACCCAGCCTCCAAGGTTATTTATCTGTAAATCACCAGGCATAGAAAGTTCCTGAGCAGAAATGGGCCATATATCTGCAGAAGAGACAGCTCAGGGTACAGACACACCTCCTAAATATGAAGCCTTAAGCAGTCAGGTAATCATGAGGTCATACGGGCTGTCATAAGGGTGCCCCACCACTTTATATACTTTCTGAAGCAGGCAGTCCTGCCAAGAGTGCTCAGAGCAGCAGCAAAACTAAATAAACTAGATAGGGTTCTCCTCCTACAGAGGGCAATTCATTGCTGAAAGCCCTGATCATACAATTGCTTGTGGGTTGCTCTGGGTGTGGATATGGGATATGACAGATGGGCACATATTGCCAATGTTAGAATTGGTTCTGTCTCCAGCTTATTGGCATCCTCCTCTCCACAATGGTTTTTGAGCTTGCTGCGGTTTATGTGCAATGCACGACTTCCTGATATGGGCCTTTGTGGAAGAGGTAAATGATATAGGAGCAGGTTCCAGAACCAGTGGACTGGGTTCAGATCTCAGCTCCTCCATGGTATGTGCACATCCTAGAGAATTACTCAGGCTCTTCACCTGTTTCCACATCCTGAAGCTGAAGGTAGTAGGATTTTATGAGGGTTAAATGAGTTATTGCATAGAAAGGACTTACAGGAGTGCTTTCCATTTAGTAAGGGCTCAATGAATGTTAGCTGTCATTACTATTATTATCATTTGTGAAAAGGAACAAAAATAAAATTACAACCAAGATTGAAAACTAGCTATCCAGTAATGTCCGTTTGGTCTCTTTGCTCAGAGTTTCGAGTTCAGGTGTGAGCTTGTTGTGATACAGCCCGTACAGCACAAATTTTACATTTGTTGGAGAAGTTAATACCTCCATGTACAGAATTTTAGCTAACATAATAAAGCGTCTTTCCATTTGCAGAGGGTTTTTACAGTGGTTAAAAATTTGCACACTCCTGATTTCATTTAGTTCTTATGACAACTAGATGAGGTAAATAGATCGGGATCCGCATGCCTCTATTCCAGCTGAAGTTCAAAGTCTTACTAAAGGCAGAGCTAAAAACAGGGCCAAAGTCTTCTTACTCTTCATGTGAAAAAAAAAAAGAAAAGAAAAGAAAAGAAACATTCCCACCTATCAGCTCCCTAAATTCATCCTTCTGTAGATCTAGCTGTGCTGAGCAGGAGTCTGGTAGCCTCAACCATCAATTCCTTCAGTTCAGAGATGGTTATAAAATTAATAAGACCAGGAACAATGGAATTGGGAAATGCCTCTGATGCAAAAAAAAAAATAAAATCAGGATGTTCACAATAAAAAATAATCTCTCATTAAGGAGCTTTGTTTGGTACATCGTAGAATTCTGCTTCGATGCACCTGGAGAAGTCCCACTTGGGCATGGTGACTTTATTGCTGTTGGCCTCCTACAGGTTGGTTTGGCCACTGTTCCCCTGTTAGCTAACTGCAGGAATGAAAGCAAGGTAAAATGCTTCACTTGTGCATCTGACCAGTATCCGTTTCCTGGAGCTGTTTGATTTATCTAAGTTCTTCTGAGTTCTAGCTGCCCTCACCCCAATCCCCCCCCCCAAGAAATAATAAAGCAGTACTTCTGAACCAATGCCTTGCAGGGACATGCACAGCAAAGCTTGCTCTTCTTTGCTTCCTGGAACATTATATTGGCCCATGCCCTCACAGGCACATAGAAGTAATACATAGATGATTTAATTATGAGAGCCAGATGTAAAATCCCTCACCAGAAACCATCAGAAGGATCTGCAATTCTAGGAAAGCTGCGAAGGCATATACTCAGCAGGCAAGGATGGCAGGTGTCAGGAGACAGCGTATGCCTGCTTCTTGGTATAGACCCTTTGGTTTAGCAGTTATGATCTCCAGTTTGTTCAACGGTCAAGGGACGCCTCTGGGAAGCTTCAAGCCAAGGAGAGAGAATTCTATCAGATAGACAAAGCAGGAAGATATTTAACTTAATTTGTTATACAGTCAGAGTAGTATCCGCAATTTGAAATTTTAAGAAGGCAATCATGAATGGAAGTTATAAGATTGAAGCAAATGTCAGGTGGCAAACAGTGCCTGGAGAAATGTGTGCTGCCAAATTTCTAAATTTGATTTTAAAAAGCTTATTTCAGCCAGATCAGTTTGCAGACAACCCTACATACACACACACACACACACACACACACACACACAATTCTTTTACCTTTAGGAGAAAGGGAAAGTTGATTTAGTATTTATGAAAAGATACAATTTACCCTTTTCAACCATTAATTTTCTAAACAGCCTTGATGTATCTTTATAAATTGTAGACTGTGGATTTTTTTTGTGTGTGTGCTGTTTTGAAATCTAAGAGAAAGGCACCTTTCTTTGTATTCTTGGAGTGAAATAGAAAGTGAACCCATGACTGGGAAGATAATATCAAGCAGGAGATTGTAAACATACCTGAGGCAGATAATGTGGATAGGCAGACAAACAGACCATTCCCTGGGAGGAATGGGGTTAATGAGAGCTCTGCCGTGAAGCAGATTTTTTAAAAACCCATTCCTTCCAAGTCCTTCAGCTCGAGCTGCTGCCAACTATTTGCATAAAGACCTGGGGAAGGATTCCAGCTTCCTGGTTCGTGACATTACCGCATGGATCATTTTCAAAATTAACACCACCTCCTGTTTCAGCAGCAGCTGACAGTGTACTCCTCCGTTGGCGTGCTGAATGGGAGTAAGTATAGCCTGTAATCCAAGAGAGAGAGAGGTGTGGTGAGCTTGGCTTCCCAGCACAGGTCACAGAGCAGTGCTGGTCCCTTTAAACTTTAAAGGCACCATCTGAAACCTTAAAAAAATCCTAAATTACTCAGTGCAATCATCAATTCAATTAGAAGATACGAGATGCTTTACTTTAAATATTTAAGAGATAATTCATAAATTTCAATGAATCTCAGGTATTCAGAGAGAGTGGTGAAATAAGCAAGTCATACAAAGAGGTGAAATACTTCCCGAGCATTACCTAGAATGTAGATAGGCTTCAGCTCCCTGACTACAGTATTAAGAAAATGCTTCCTATTTTAACATTTCATAGCTAGTAAGCACATGTGCATATTTTTAGCTCTCCAGGATTAGCAAAGTCAGGAACTGTGTCATTTTGGGAAAACAAATTCCTAAGGCTAAGCAGCCAGAGAGTATAAGAAATTTTTGAAGAAAATGATTGACTCAGTCATAGATGGTTGGGATTGAATAGGTTTCACTTTTATTAATTTTAAATTAAGTAGTTTAATAGAAAGGAGTTTACTGAGTATTCTCAAACGGTTCCATTTCTCTATAATACACAAATCGTATATATTATACACAAATCATTTTTATCTAAATTCGACTTAAATTTAAATTTTAGGTGGGAAAAATCTGATGGAGGGGGGAACCAAGCAAACATAAAAACCAAATCTAAATAATATAGGACTCTGGTTGTATATAACGATAGCCACCTTTTTTTAGAAGAAAGAATCTGGCTTACCTTATTGCAGAAGCAACAAAGTTCATGTGAAAATGGCTTAGCTTTCCCCTGAGAGCTCTGACTTCACTCTGCTCTGTGCTCACGTTCTTGCTTTGGCAGCTGTCCGCAGGCAACGGTGTCCGCCTCTCAGACCAAGTCCCACCATCCCCGGCAGGTGAGTACAGCCAGTGTCCCATTCCCTCCAAACCTCTTTCAAAAGCCCATCTCCAAAGTCTCTCAGTGCCTGATTCAGAGGTGAAGATAGGCACCACCATTTAATTGGAATCCAACCAATCAGAAGGTGAACAAGCCACAGTGACTCCAGATGCAAGGGAAAAAGGGGACATTTTTGTTCTCATTTCTGAAATGTCTATTTTCTGCTTCCTATTCTGTCCCAAGAGTTATTTCTTCCCATTTATCCCAGTTCCTCATCACCAAGTAACTAAACTCTCAGAAGTGTTTTCAGGAACTTGTTACCTTTTTTTTTTTTTAATGTACTGTTAGATGGAATACAAGACACCCTCGGGTTCTAGAATAATGCCTTTGCTCCTGTTGATTTAGTTTCTAGCCCACGGGGTTTGTTTCCCTCCCCTTCTCTCCTCTCCCCAGTGAGCAGTTCAAACAACTGCAGGTTTTCTCAGCTCAATTCGAATAACCGAATGACCGTATTACCTATGCCAGCCAGCAGTTGGGTGTTTTAGGACCTCATATGCAAGGAGATCTGTGCTTATGGGGGCTCACCACCCAATGTCCCACTTTAACGTTAAGCATAGGAACCTTGAGACTTCAAAATATCCAGTATTCTGTTGTCCTTTGATGGATACACTCTAAACCCCTCTCCTCTGAACATTTAAGGCTAGCAATCAGAAATCGAGCCTATTAATAAGAAAATGGAAGAGGAGTCATGTTTTCAGAATTATTCCTATTTGGTAGCCAACAATTTATTTTAATTCCCCTAGCATATGGACATGTTTCCTAAGGAAACATTTTTATATTTTGTAACTCATAATAGGTACTACTAATTCACTTTGCATTCTTGGTTTCTATTTTTATAATTTATATTGCCATTCATATCACTTCTCAAAATATAAGTTACTAGGTATGAAAAGTTTAGGGAAGCAAGAAGCTTAAATCAAGGGCATTGCATCCCGTGGCATCAGAAGTTTTCCTAAAGCCTCACACAATTTTATACGTTACTTCTGAGAGGTGAAGTTACCTGAGCTGCAGATGGGGTGTGGGTGCCTTATGCTCCAAGAAAGGAGAGCCTTGAGCCATTATTTGACTGTGACAGTTGGACACAGGGTGTATTGTCATTCTTTTATTTTCGCCCTGGCCATATTTACAGCCACTTCCCACATTATTAAGTAGAGTCGGTCCACTGATTTGAATTCGCTAAGGCAACGAAAAAATCCAAATTGCCTGCCTGTTTACTTTTCTAGAACTTAAGTCCCCCCTTCTCCCCTAGACATGGTTAATATTCAGAATATAGAATTCTATTCAAAGCCATGAGTGCAATTTTTAAACAACAACAACAACAACAAAATGTTATCCTTTTTCCTTTCTCTTCTAGGGCTGTATTTTGAGTCTGAACCAGTTTCTTCTACACCCAATTATTTTCAACCCCGAGAACTTTCCAGTTGTGTTTCCTGTGAAGAAAATACAAGCTGCCTCGACCAGCTCTTTGATTCCTACCTTCAGGCAGAGACACACCTGGACTCTTCGCTCAATGCCACGCAAAGCACTCCGCACTATTTCCCTGACAGCTTCCAAACTGCCCCTTTCTGCTTTAACCAGAGCCTGGTAATTTATCTCAATTCTTTACAAAAACCTGATTGTTGCCTACTGTAAGGTAGTTGTGCTTTGTAAGAGAGTTTGCATCATCTCGTGAGAAATCATACAAACCCTATCAACAAGGAAGTCATCCAGGAAATGAGCAGAGAGCCATTTAAAACTCAGTGGGGGTCGGAGAAGCCACAGGGTGCAGGAGGCAAACCTTTGGATACACACGATTATAATTTCCCAAAGCAGTTCTGCCCAACCACATGGTATGTGGCAGTAAAAAGAGGTTTCCTGGCAATATTCATTTAATGTTGTTAAACTGTAGTTAAGACATCTGTTCATTGCAAATCATTGATTTAAACAATGATCCCTGGATTTTTTGAGTTCTGGAAGGTCGAATTAAGGCTGCATCTACACAGTACCAAACTGTTATTCTGATAAGGGGTTTTTGTTTTATTTTGACACTGAACTGGCCCCACTAACTGGTTGTTTTGGTCTGGTGTAGGCACAAGAACTCTTCTGGGCCTGAGATGGCTGGTAAAAAAGAAGCCCTCATACTTCAAAGAATTTGGATTGTCTATTCTTGATGAACCTCAAATGTTTGAAAATATGGTATCATTTAAAATGGTGTAAGATTTCCAGTGTAGACACCAGTTGTTTGGGATTTTTAGATACTCCCATGTTGTTTTTTTAACCATAAAAACTAAGGTTTTTTTAAATGTAAATACTTTTTACCTTTGTCAAAAGTCCATGTAGGTATCAGACTAAATTTTGGGGGTATAGGAAATTAACTCCACAGACTATGCACACCAGACCCCTGCACTCTAGTTCCCTTCTGGCTCCCAAGAAGGCTTTCCCAATCATCATTGTAGGCCTGCTTAAGAGAAAGCAGAGAGTACCTTTCTTCTCTGGGGACAAGACTTCAGTGACTGTAAGAGTAGTTTCACGTTTTGGAGTCTCCCAGACACTGCCTATTGAAGATCTCAGTTCTTTCTGTTCTCCACAGTCAAGGGTGTGGAGGGACATCCAAGGTGCCACCTGCAGCTTATATCGTGGCACACAGCAAGATTTGGTGTGCAGGTGACTTGAAGCACAATGGGATTCTGTGGTTTAGGAACAAAGCATCCTCTAAAGTATGATTATAACAAAGAAAGCCAGTGAAGCAAGGCGATTTATTGTTGGGGAAGAAAAAGACAAATATAAAACAAGGTGTCCTGAAATCATGCAGTCAGCAAATAAAATTACTTCTGCAGACTTGGGTTGGGCTGGGTGTTTTGTTGTGTCGTATTTTTCCCTCTAATGTTCTTACTGTTAATAAATCCTCTCTATTCAGCTTTTTTAATCCTGTCTAAATTATCAAGCTCTTTGTTTCTTGGTTTTCTCTAGACCCCAGGATCGCCTTCGGATTCCTCCACTCTCTCAGGTTCCTTAGACTACAGTTACTCGCTGGCTCAGCTACCTTCGTATGCCCCGGAGAATTACAATTCTCCCCCTTCTCTGGACTCCAGAAACTGTGGCTATCCCTCAGAAGACTACTCCTACTCCCACTTGCCCCCATACACCCAGTACGACTGCTTCTCTTCGGCAAGCACCTCAGTCTGCTACTGTGCGTCCTGTGAAACAGAACACTTGGACACCATCAGAGCATCGGAGTATTTTTCCTATCCCAGCACAGACTATGTGAACTTTGCCCCCTCAGCAGCAGCCGCCAGTGATTTCTATAAGAGAGGAGCAAACTGTGACATCTGCTATAGTTAATAGTAATTATGTGAATTTGGAACATGGCGTGAATATCTCTGTTTTTCGACCACACCGAATGACAACTCAAAATATGCAACCTGTTAACAAAATATCACAAGCCTGGTTCCCATGTCACCATTTTCAATGTCCTGATGCTCACTTAGGCATGGATATGAAGTCCTCAGATCCAGTCATTGTGCCACTCCTACTTTGTATGCTTACAGTTAAAACTTTTTGTAGGGAACGTTCAGTTGTTTTACTTTTCTATGTAATGAACAGATGCTAATTTTTTAACTAATAAATTTTGTATTATTAAACATCGGCTTATTTTTTAATTTTCTGATGACAGTTTCCAATTGGTTTGAATAATACCAATTAATTCTGGAAATCACCAATTACATTTCAATAGTTTCATCTCTCTTATTCATGAATTTTAAGTTATTTTAATTTGGCGAGATGCCTTGGTTCTCATAGGGATGGAAGGTAGACACAGCTGTGATGGTGAAAAGGAGAGGCAGTCTCACCTCCAAATGAGGGTGTACATCTTGGAGCAACATCAGAGAAAGACATTTATGAAACATTAGCTTCTCATATCTAACATTAGTCAATGAAATGTTAATATGACCAAAGGCACATCTTGCCTACAGCAATATTAACCCATAGATAATTCTTTTTCATGTCCAAAGTGTTGTTTTGTAAACTTTCTGGGAAAATACTTGATCTTTTTTTCTCTTGAAAGCCACTATGCTATTGGTGGACCACAAAGTTTGGAATTTGTTGTTACCTTAGATTTCTGAATTTCTGCAGTAAGTCCTTAAGTAGGCCTTACACACTCATTTTTACAGATTGGTTGAGACGATTGACCATGTTGTTTATGACTGAATTTCAGAGTTTACTGCCTCTGATTAATCTATTTGAACAAGCCCAACCATCTTTCAAGATGAAGAGAAGTTAACTTGAGCTATGTATGTCAGACTATACCGTTCAGTCCTGTTTGTCAAGGGCAGTAAAGCACAGGACTTAATCCTTGCAGTGAAGTCAGGGTCATTTTCCATATCCTGAGGTTCTGCACAATGGTGGCAATACTGGTACCATTGGTCCCAGCCATGGCTACCATTTCCCAAGCCCTCTCTGTGAGCCAGAGTTGCCTACAGATTTTCTTACTCCTGTCTCCTCTCCCAAGCTTCACGACATTGAGAGCAAAATTAGAAATCTGAGACTTAGAGAAGTCAAATCACCTGCCCAGTGCTACCCAGTCAGTAAGTACCCGGACTTGGGTCTGAAGAATGCCAGAGCTGTGCTTTGTACTCATCTTTGATAGTGAAAAGTTTGAGCTGTCCTTTGTGGAAGAGTGCTCTGGAACCTATGAAATCGCCCCCATTAAACTCTGACTTCCTCATACAGCCACGGGTGTGTCCCACACACAGCTAGTCAGACTGTCCACAGATATGAAGGTGCCAAGCACAAGAGCTGCCAGAGGCCCCCACTCTGGGGACTGAGGAGGAGAAGTTGACAAACCGCCACCTCAGTGGGCCTTGTTCTATCAGGAAGCAGATAGGCTTTCAAAATGACATACCTAATTGTCACCTCCCTAGGGACTCCACTAAGACTTGGGCAAACGGAACAAGTTGCAACCTGCCTCATGGCATAGTTGTGCCAGGGAAATAGAACAATTGCTGTCTTTCTGAGATGCCAATAAAACTAAATTTTTAATAGTTTCCAACTAAATTGAAACTGGCCTTCATCAACAAACATCTATTTGGACAGACCATAAGCCTCTGCATGTCATCCACGCCACACCACCTGAGCTATGCCCAAGGGACAAAGGCAGAGAACCCAAAGATGGCCAGTGGTTGGCACAAAAATATCCTTTTCCTGATGCCATTCTTTTTTTTTTTTTCATTCTCTGCTTCTATCCTGTCCCTTCTGAATCAGTTATCTTGCAGATCTAACCAAGAGCATTTGCTCCTTGCTTCTTATTCTTTCTTCATATGTCCCTTACTATTTGCCTAAGTCTAGTCTAGTCTGGAAAAAAGATTTTTTAAAAATGTGAAACATGGGCTAACAGAGCTACTGCACCTTATAGTGAATAATTCCACCTGAAATTGGTCTTTAAGATCTTTCCAGATATTTGGGCCAACAGGTCACTTGACACAGAAGAAAGTGAATGAACACTGCCCACCCGGACCCTTAAGCACTCAGGCTCACACAGAGCAGCTCGGGGGCCCTCTTGCAGCCGGTAGGACATCTGCCTGCAGCGCTGGGACAAGCTGGAGTGCCTCTCATCAGCATACACCTGGGAAGTTGCACAAAATCCAGAGGCCTGTTTCTCAGTGTCAGAAAGCATGACTCAATAAGTCTGTGGCAGGAGCCAGGCATCTGCATTTTTTTTTAACAATTAATTGTTCAAATTTTTATTTTGATGCACAGTATGAGAAACAAACTTTTAAATCATCTGAATCTTATGGAAAATGAAACAGCAAATAAATTAGACCCATGTTAAAATAGAAGGTCAGTTATATGTCCAAACTTAAGGATATAAGAGCCACAGATAAACTTCGATTCCACAGTCTTCTTTGAGAGGTCGAAGTCTTTCAAACACAACTTTGCTATGAACTAACTGGTGCAGAGCTCAACAGCACATGGGAATGTTTAACAGGGTGGTGATCAGGGACACGTTTCCTTGGTGCTGCTTTGATAATGTCCACACGCAGAATCGCCTCTGCTGCTTCAGCTGCACTCAAAAGAACTTGTCGCTTCACTTGGAAACTTTCTTTTATACCCAGTACTGCCATATCTCCGATGGTACCTTCCTTCATATCCAGGCCAGCAGTTGTGTTGCCTTCACTGTGGGCAGCTTGCACCTGGGCTACCAGGTCTGCACTGCCGTAGCCTGCGTTATCAGCTATGATAGTTGGCAGCATTCTCAGTGCTTTAGCGTAAGACTCCATTGCAACAGCTTCTTTGCCTGGTGTTCTACTGGCAAGCTGTGTCACAGCATGAGCCATCAGCATCTCAGAACAGCCTCCTCCATACACTGTTCTAGAATCCTTCACAGTTTGGGCAAGAACACAAAGAGCATCATGCAAAGATCTTTCTGCTTCATCTAAAATCTGTTGAGTGGCCCCACGCAGAACAATGGTACAAGCTTCACCAAGGGCTACCCCAGAAAAGTGGATAAGTTTATCTTCTCTAATCATGACTTCCTCAATAAGCTTGCAACTTCCAAGCTTCACTAGTTCTGGGTGGTCAAAGGTAGAGGCAATTTCACCACCTGTAACAAGAGCTAGGCGTTCCACACCTGCAAAATCTGCATGTTCGATAGCCATAACACCAGCAGCACCAAAGAGCTGTTCAGGGGAATTGTAAATTAACTGCCTGTTAATAAAGCAATTTATCCCATGCTTAAGAATACGTTCAACTTTCTCCTTCATTTTTTCCTTTTCGGCATGTTCTATTTCAGCAACCTTTGCTGTAGAATCAACTCTTACTCTGGAACCAAATATCTTTATTTTGTCTGTATCCATACCAGTATTTGCAATGAGAATTTTAGCATTTTCAATTCGCTTTGGTTGATTTACTCCAATTTTTTTATCCAACAGAAAGCCTTCATCTAAATAGGAATCTGCCAGACTTCCTCCTAGCTTCTTGATGACATGAATTGCCTCCAGATTACCAGAGCCTTTCAGTCTGAGAACAGCTTCTACGGCTGAGTAAAGTGGTCTTTGTGATGAGTAAGAAGTTTTGAGGACAATGTTGTTCCCGCAATGTTCATTAAATCTTGACGGAACTTAACTTCGTCAGAACCATGATCAACTGCAGAATTCAACAGAGCCTGTCTTGCTGCCTTTGTGGCTTCTCTCCAACCCGCAATGATGGTCTGTGGGTGAATCTTTTTTGCAGTCAAAGTTTCTGCTTCCCTTAGTAATTCTGCTGCTAGCACAGTAACAGAGGTAGTACCATCACCAACTTCATCATCTTGAACCCTTGACATATCAACTAAAACTTTAGCTGCTGGATTGTCCACCCCGATGTTTTTTAGAATAGTTGCACCATCATTGGTTACCATAAGAGAAGCATCTCGTCCACTGCTTAATAGAATTTTATCCATGCCCTTAGGTCCTGGGGTGCTCTTCACCAAGTCTCCAATAGCAATGGCACCAATAAAAGACGACAGCCGAGCCGTCTCCGCTCTCTCTTCATCAGCTCCAGCCTTGAAGATGTTCACAGGTGCGAGGCAAAGGGACGCCGTGGTTCCGCGGCTTCGGCACACGCGCTCGCCCCTCACGGCTCACGCCCGGGACCGGAGGGAAGAGAAGCCGCGCATCTGCATTTTTTAAATGGACCAAGGTGATTCTGATTTAGACGGTTTTCTGTCTATACTTGAAAAGCACTCACGTATTCAATGTCTGAAGTGTTCTGTTCTAGGGCCTAGCAGCACCATAAGAGCTTATACAGACTGAGTTCTTCCTGTGACCCAGGGCTGCAGGCATTTATCTCATTCAATCCTCAAACAACAACACAAGATAGATACTATTACTGCCAATTTGTTGGTTTTTTTGTTTTGTTTTGTCTTGTTTTTAACAATGTTGTTTTAACAATGAAAGTGTGGCTCAGAGAAGTAGAAGAACGTGCCCAAGGTGGCACAACCTGTAATCAGGCTGCCTTCTCCAGCTCTGGTGGTCTGAACTTCCAATGGCCTTAGTCAACTTTCCATGTATTACACCTGGAGAAGTTACCTATTTGGAGTTGAATTTTTTGCAGGCATATCTGGACCCATCTCCTCACACCACAGAGGCATTTAGTAAGAGTATAGATGGGAGCTTAAACGAGTGAATAATTTTGTGATTCGGGACCACAGAATTAATAAAACAAAATCTTAATTAAGCACCTACTATGTGCATGACTGATTCTGTACCTTCAAAGGGTAAAAGGAGGTGAGATTTCAAAAATTCAAAGAGGTGAGCAGTTCAGTTAGGATGGACGTGGATTAATTTTCAAAGTCTTGGGAAATTTCAATTAGGAGTCAACCTTTAGAGCCTGAGAGGTAAGATGAGACAAATTGAAGGTAGTAAACATTTGGAAACTCTTAGCTCAAGCAGTGGCCCCGAGAAGTTACATCCTGGCTGTGGCCTGAGCTGCAACTGGACATCAGGAGCAAGGTACAGATAAGGTTACCTGAGATAGAGCTGGGAGTAGGGGGATAGGGAGGTGAGGGCAGAGGGAAGGGGGTGCTAACATTTTGATTAAAAAAAACATTTTTAAAAATTATTATTCAGTCTAGAC